TGAAAGTAAATAAAAAAATACAAGTTAAAGAATCATTAATTGTAACTAAAAAACAAAATGAACAAAATACATAAAAAAAAATAAAAACAAATAGCATATTATAAATAACACAAATTAAAAAAAAAAAAAAAAAAAAAGGTTTCTAAAGAAAAGATAAGGAAAAAAAAAAAGAAATAATGATAAATAAAAATAAAATTATAAAATTATATTGTTATTTCTTTTTAAAGTATTTATGATAAATCTAGATATACATAAAACTTCTCGTTTGTTTTTACAAGCATAAATAACAATATTACCTGAACTAAACAGTAGAGCAGTTTTAACTGAACTTTTATTATTTTTTTTGTAGTTTTCTAATGAATTATTTTTTATATTTTTTTCTAAATTATTTTGTTCAATTAATTTATTTAAAAGATTCTGGTCAATTTTTATATATATAATGTTATTAATATCAGTTAATATATTTTTAAATTCCTTATATTTATAAATTTTTGTTATATCAAAGTATTTTAATCTAATTTTAAAAACACATACAAATTGCTTAATGTTAAAATAATTCATATCAAATGTAATATCATCTCTAACCTTATAACGCCATTTTTGAAATCTATCAAATTTATATATGTCTTTTTTACTATATAACTTTTGACTTACTTTAGAATAATTATTCGCATGAAGATTATTACTTTCATTAATATTAATTATTTTATTTTCTTTAATTAACTTTTCATTTTTATTAAAACACACATCATTTATTTTTGCATCATTTTGCGCATGAATCTTATTTTTTTTTTCCCAATTTTGCTTTTCAAAATTTAAATAAATAGTATCCTTTTCAATATCCAAAAAATTAGTATCATTTTTTTTTTTTTTTTTTTTTTTTTTTGAATTAATAATACAATCATTATAATGTAGTTGCTGTATTTCACTTCCTTTATCTGAAGAAAATTCTTCAGAATTAATTAATTCTTTTGTTAATAATTCATTATTTTCATTTATTTTATCATTTTCAGAATAATTGGATATATTATTTTTATTAGAGAATTTCTTAATATTTTTCTTAATCACTAATCTATTAGTATTCTTATTGTTACTTCTACTATTTTTAATATTATATTTATTTACTAAATTATGATTATCTTTTAATACTTTTATTTTTTCACTTGTATTGTTTTTTAAAAAATTATCTTTTAAGTAAAATTCATAATTTGAAAATTTTTGTTTTATCTCTTTAATAATATTTTCACACAAATTAATTCTATCAAACACATCAGTTTCATTCATATTTGGATTGCTACTATTCAAATCATATATATTATCATTACATTTTTTTATATCATTATTTATAATATTTCCCGTTACGATATCTTCATTATTTATATTACTGATTTTATGTTCACTCAAATTTTCGTAAGAAGTTTCATCAGTAAGAAATTCATCATATAAATCTTGATTAAAAACTAATTTATCATTAAAATATTCACTACTTAAATTTTCATTATTAACATTTTCTCTAATAACTTTTTTTTCATTATTATGTTCATTTAAATCAATATTATGAATTGATTCTGAATTAAAATTTTTTGATTCTTTTAACTTATATTTATCTCTGCACGACTCTGAGTAAGAATTTTGTTCTTTTATATTTTTATTTTGATTTAAATAATACCAGAAAGTTTTATATTTAATTTTTTTAACTACTTTTATTAAAATTAATAAAATATTTCTTAATGTTAATGAGCCATGAATATGAATTGACCCATTTTTATGAATAAAGCACACAACATATGGTTTTTGAAAATAAATTTTTACTACATTTTTTCTAATTTTATAAGGTTGAAAATAAATAATACAATTATTTTTTTTTTTTTCAGTATATAAAGAATCATCTAAGTTTTCATTAAAAGAAGTGTCGTATATTATTTCTGTATTCTTAAATGATCTTGCTATTAATACTAAATCATGAATAGAAAAATGACACTTTAAATTCATAGATACCCATATATTTTTTATAAATATATTTAAATGAATAACGTCATCATATATTATATTATCATTAACTTTTAATAATTTTCTTAATTTTTCTTTTCCTTTTTCATTCATTGATTTTATCATATCACAATGAATATAATTATTTTCGTTATTTTCATCACAAAAGAGATTCATTTTTTATTATTTCAAAATTATATTCTTGTTATAACCAATTATTAAAAACATAAATAAATATATTTTAAAAAAGTAGTTACATATATATATATTTCTTTTTTTTCAAAATTTAGATAACAAAAATACCAAAATAAATTCAATAAAAAAAAAAAAAAAAACAAGTAAGCCTCTTATTTTTTCTATCTCATTATTTGCCATTAAGGGAAATGGCAAGCATTATTTTCCAAATATTGAGAAATATAAAATTTTTTGTTTAAATATATAAAGTTCTATCATCTTCAAAATATATTGAAGTTTTAATAGAATTAAAAGGAATATTTCATTTTTAAAAATTATTAAAATTTAAAAAAAAAAAAAAAAATAAAAATTTCAGGAAAATCTTTTTTTTTATATATATATATATAAATTTTTTTTTTTTTTTTTTTTTAATTTTAATAGTATTTTGTTCTAATTTTTTTCACAATAAAATTATAATATAAAAGGAAAAAAAAAAAAAAAAAAATGCATATCATTTTTAATACATATATACATTAATATATATTATTTTATTTTTAAAAATAAATTTACTAAAAAAAAAAAAATAGCGCAAAAATTTTTAGAAATTTTTACAATTATTTCTTCTATTATATATATGAAAATATATTATTTTAATGAAAGATTTTTACTTTTTTTTATTTTTATATTATTTTAGTATTTTTAATTATAAAGTAACTTCGATAACTAATTTTTAATGTAACAATGCCTCCAATAAAAAAGAAAAAGAAAAAAAAATGATATGTAATAAATGTATCTCTATTTATTTTTATATATTATTTTTTCTTGTTATACAAAATGTATAATTATAAAAAATGTACAAAAAAATGCTTTATTTTTAAAGCCATTTCAGTTGAGATATAAAAAAATTAAAAGTATAAATTTAAATACAGAAAAGCAAATTAGTGACATTGTATTATATCCATTAAATAAAAAAGTGTTAAAGAAAAATAATTTTTGTAATAATGGTGAAAATAAATACACTAAGGGATATAGGAAGTCTCTTTTTAATAATATTTGTTCATTGATAAATGTAGAGAATGATGAAAAAACAAGAGAAATAGAAGAATTAAAAATAAACCATAATTTAGCTATTAACGATTTTTCTAGTAGCTCTTCAATCAGTTCAATTGAAAGGCAAGAAGTAATACAACTAATAGAGGCTTATTGGTTGCTAGCATTAAAGAATGAATTTTTCTTTAAATTTTTAAAAAAAAAGAAAAATTTGATTTTCAGCATAAGTTCTGGTGTTGATTCTTTATCTCTTTTGTATTCTTTTATTTTTATCATTTATAAAATATTAATAACAATAGCATACAAAGATGATAATTATATTTCTTTATTAAATAAAATAAATAATGTATATTCTTATTCATATGAAGATATTAGCAACTTAATTTCAAAACCTAATTTTCAAACTAATTTTTTTTTTTCTATTTTAAAAAATATTACTGTTTTATATTGTAATCATAAGACAAGAATAGAATGCAATAAGGAAAAAGTTTTTTTAAAAAATATTTGCTTTCGGTATAATCTTAAATTTAAAACAAAATTACTTACAAAAAAAAGTATTGATAAATTAAAGAACAAAAATAAAAACAGTTTTTTATTGTTAGCAAGAATTTGGAGAAGAAATTCATATATAGATGTATCTGATGAAATTTCTAAGAAGAATAATATTGAAAAATTTAAAATATTAAAAAAAAATGAGGAAAAAGAAAATAATTCCTATGAGCTTAGAAATTTAGGAAAACTCATTAAATCATTTAATTATACTTATAAAAATTATATATCAGACATAGATAATTTTATAAAATTAACGAATAAGAAACATATGACAATTATTCTATTAAAAAATAATAATAAATCTTTTAAAAAAACTAATAAAATTCTAAATTTAATAAAATCTTTTGTATTTTTAGGGCATAACAAAAATGATAACAATGAAACCATTTTATTTCAACTGTTTAGAGGAGTTTTTATTAAAAATATTTCTGGTATTAAATTTTTAACAAATTTTAAAAATTGTTTTTTATATAGACCTTTTATTAAGTTAAATAAAATTTTTCTATATAAATATATGAAATACATAAATAAAAAATGGCTATTTGATAAATCGAATGAAAAATTATCTCCATCTAGGAATTTTCTTAGAAATATAGTAATACCTAATATTTCTTTCATATTAAAGGATAAAAGAAATATTAAAAATGATTTAGACACATTTTCAAAAAACGATATAAAGAATATTGATATTACTCATATTAATTATAATAAAGAATTTTTTGATAAAAATAATTGCAATAAAAATGTGAATGACACTAAAAGCAAATCATTAGTTTTAAATAATAATCTAAATACTACAAATGTTTTAGATGAAAATTCAGAATTAAGAATTTGTAATAACTATATATATCCATCTTTAGATAAAAGACTAAAAAATTTGCTTAATCAATCAGTTAATTTAGATAATTATTTAAATTATTACAACAGTATATTTAATATATATATAAAAAGTAAATATTATGATAATAACAGTACTATTAATAATATTTTTGTTAAAGAATATATGAATATGCAAAACAATTTATATAATTCTTTTTTTTTACAAGAAAATATAAATCATTTAATAAAAATTAATAAAATATTCTATCAACATAACTTCTTTTTAAAAATTTTTAATTTATTAGAATTTTTAGTTTTGCCTTCTAAATTTATTAGAATAGAAATTCTTTACAACATCATTAAAAAGTATACTAACGTGAGTTTAAGTTATAGTCGTATTGAAAAAATTTACCAAATATTATTTTCATTTGTTCAAAATCATTTAAAAGATACAGAATGTATAAAAAAAACAAAAGAAGAAAGTTCTTACATTACTTCAGAAGAAAAATTGATAGAAGAGAGAAAAAAAAAAATAAATAAAATAAAAAAGCATAATAAAAAAATTAAAATAGTAAATTTAAACTTACAATGTAAAATTCTTGTAAATAACAATTTTTTTCGTGTTTTAAATAGTACAGATGAAAAAAAAAAAAAAAAGTCTTTTCATTTTAAAGATAAAAGTTCTCATGTTTTTATTCATGATGATATATCAGCAATGATAGAAAGAATAAATAAAAAAAATATAAAAAAAGAGAATACCAATATATATTTATTAATTAAAAAAAGAAAAAAAAAGAAAAAAGAAAAATTTAACATACACATTCGTTATTTAAAAAAAGGTGATTTAGTTTTTTATGAAAAAAAACTTGTTAAGGTAACAAAATTTTTATCAAAATATAACATCCCATATATATATAAAATTTCATTACCTATTATAGAAATAACTAATTTTTCAAAAAATAATATAATATTTTTCTTTTTATTTAAAGAAATAAAAAATAAAAATTTTTGTATTCGTGAATTCATTCAAAAAAAAAATATGAAAAATCATTTTATCTACAGTATAAGATTTTTAAATAATAATATGTAAAATATTTTTTCTCTTTTTTTTAAATTATTCCAATGTTAACTTTATATATATATATATATATATATATATTTTTTTTTTTTTTTTTTTTTTTTTTTTTTTTTTTACAATGTGTTGATAGTGTGTTTTTATTATAAACTTATTTTATCTTTAAATTTTATTTTATTTTCTTCAAAAATTTTTTTTTTTTTTTTTTTTTATATATTTATTATTTTATATAGTTTATATAAGAACTTTAATATTTTATTATTTTTTTTTGTTATAATTCTTTTTTTATGAAATATTTATATTTGAAATAGTATTTTTATAATAACGAACCTTTAAACATTTTAATTTTTGATAGATGTTTATTATTAAAAATATTTTAATTTAATTATTATCTTTATTATTTTTTCTTTTTTTTTTGTTATCATGAATGAGTTAAATGAAAACAAGAAAAATGAGGAAATAAATGAGACCATAGAACTAAATATTAACAATATAGCTAATAAATTAGCAAATATATTATATATAACAAGTGTTTCAATGAAAGAAAATTTTCAATTAAGAAATAATTTACACTATGCAAAATTTATAAATGATATGAAATCATATTGTGTTAATTTAATTCAATCAATTAATAATTTAAATAGTAATTTTCATAATTTAACATGTTTACCTGTTCATTCAATTCCTAGAAATCCATACAATAATATTCAAGATCCCAATACAATTACAAGTAACATTAGTGTTGATGATTTAACAGATAAAATTAAAGAAAATAAAAAATTGATGAATAGTTTTAATTCAAAATATAAAAAAATAAATTTTAACGTTTTAAAGCCAATTGAAAATTTTAATGATTATGTAAAATCAGCCTTAAATAATATTGAACATATTAAAATGCCATTCAAATATGAAGAGAAAAAAACATATGGAAATGTTTTATCAGAACGATTAAAAGATAAGCAAAAAGATTTTGAACATCTAGAACTTTATATTGCTAAAATAAATTATGGTATTTTTTAAATTTTAACCAATGAAAGCAAACAAAATAAGTTACCTTTTTTATTATATTTTTAATAAATATATATAGAATATAAAAAGTAATAATATTAAGAAATAGAAAAGAAAAAGAATATTTTATTTATTTTTTTTTTTTATTTGGATATAAATACAATATAGAGATAATATATAAAATTAAAAAAAAAAAAAAAAAGGATTACATATAATTTAGTTTTGAAAAGTAAATGCATTTCAATAAAGATAAAAGTTTTTAATTAAATATTTAGTATAAAAATAGAATTTTATGAATTAAAATGACATAAAAAAAAAAAAAAGTACAAATTGAAAATAAAAACTATATACATCAATAGTTTTATTTGTATTTAAATTATTTGGATATATTTTAAATGTTTTAAATTATAAAACTTTTTTTTTTTTTTTTTTTTTTTTTTTTTTTAATAAAAAAAAAA